TAAGGCAACCGATTCCTCTAGAAGGACTACATAGACACAGACCTCCTCGACAATGCCACAACTATCTTCACAATGGTCTTCATTTTTGCGGTCAGGTATAGCTGTCCTGCCACAGTATGCTCAGAAGCATTCGCGCCAGTGGGTACTTTTTGTTACCTTCAGTCGAACTTTGTGTCGAGAGAGAGATTGAAATGGGCTACTAGATCAATCAGAAGAGTGAGGTTTCACCTGACTTTGTCATGATCTCGGGCATCTATATGCGATTAATGTTTAGACCGTATTGCGAGTAATTAAGGCTTCAGGAAGGCCATCCTGTTCAGACGTGAAGCAAAGCCCATGATCTCAGAGTGAACTGGTCGAATGGACCTAGCCAATCAAGGGTGCTTGGGCTCGGTTCACCAAAATCAATTTGGACTGCGCCTCCTACGAACGGCCATACGGTTGGTCAGAAACGCAAGTAGTCGACGGTGTCCTTTTCCTCCATCAACTGCGAGGATTCAGTTGTGTGCTGCGCCGGCCTGATGATGATGAAGTGACGCAGAAAGTCAGCTCGCTCGAACCCGATGTGGATGGACAAGATGACCTCAAAGGTAGCTCTAACCCTGGGGTGTGTTAAATAGTTGAAAACTGCACAAGGATCTGTTATGGAATAATATCACTCATGAGGCAGTGAATCTGGAACAGGAAGCCGGCTGAGTCGGGTATGATGAATGCCGTTGCGATTAAATGGACTGGAGTCATTATGGAGCTTTCTCGCGAGGTTTGGTGCGCTGCTGACGAAGTCACCAGAGCGGTATAGCCCTCAGTACGGACAAGCATGCTTTGCTTTAGTGCACGCCGCGCGCATTCATATTACCGTACACTGCAGTTCTGGCGAACACTAATCGATAGGACCGCGAACTTGAAAACCGCGTGCTACGCAGCTACGAGATTAACATGGAGGCGATCAAAGACCGAATAGAACGGTTCGCAGGTCCGCTGCAATTATCAGTTGACTGCGTCCTCAACATAATTGGACTCCTGTTGGGCGTAGTGGGCACAATTACGAACGCGGTAATCATCATTAACCTCATCCCACGTCTTTTTCGACGCAAGAGCCGTGCACCAAACATGAAGTACAGTCTCGCACAGGCTTTTCTTGACTGTTTGGCTTGTTTCAGTTGGTGTGTATGTGATTACATGAAACAGGCATTGTACCAAGCAGAAATTAGGCGGGATCGACGTTTGCCCTTTCTAACGGTGGAGAGTGGCACAGCTACGCAAACAAAATGTGCACTCTATTTGAGCAAGTCCGCATTCTGGGCTTTATTTGCCTATCGATCTGGGATCAATGTGCTTGCAGCAGCGCATTTCTTCCGTCGACTGGTATTCGCCAGAGTAAGAATGCCTATCGACACGGTCGTCGGTATTATTGTAGCGAATATCATCTTTCTTTGTCATGCCGTAATAGCGGCCATCATACATGGGGTGGAGGTACATGTGAACGAAACAATGGGCAGCTGTATTATCACCCGCGACCTCTTTGCACAACAAGGATATTGGGTTGGCCCCATCAAAGTCGGCGTGGTGGCCCATATCAGTTTAATGTACATATTCCCTGTGATGAGCACCATGTTTTTCTACACTGTCATGACATCCGCGCTGCGAGAGTCACGCAACCCAGTCCATGAGAAGGCGTATCGAGATTTGATGAAAATCTACTATATGGACTGCAAGATATACCTGGTCTTCTTCGCTCCCTTCATATGCTGCTTTTATTTGCATCACTTTTCAATCGACTTTGAGTTTGGACCGGCGGATACATTCTACAAAGCCGTCTTCGCTATAGCCTTTGCGTACCCCGCTCTCTATCCCTTGCTCGGAGTCTATCTAAGGCGGAACTTCCATGAACCGCTGATGAGCGGGCTGGACTTTTATCAGTCTCGAGAGGAGATGGAGAAGACAGCTTTGAAACGATCAGCCGAAGAGAAAGTAGCCCAGAATCTCGAAGATCAGTCCTTATTCTCAACCAAAATACAATGATATCAATAAATTTTATTTGCGCCACACATTAACCAGCGCTAAATGAAAATTGGTGACATGTCTCCTGCGTGAGTTAATCTTCGTAGGTGGGTGTCGTGTACGAGTGTCAGGGGTACTAAAATACTTAGTAAATAACAGATATAACCGACAAAAATAAAGTGCTAATTCTAGTATTCCGGTAAAAAAGACGAGAAAATTAGAATAGAAAGACTAAAGAGAAATCCGAAGATAAAAGCACCATGGGGTAACTAACAGGTAGACTCGACTTTGAATTTCTGTACTTTTTGCACAAAAGTAGTGAAACCCAAGTGGCCAATGCGACTTTTTCGAGCTATACTGTAAGCCCAAGGGCGGGAAGGCCTGTTGCCTGTTGCTCGGACATGGATAATTGCCAAAAACAATTATGAAATCCAAAGCTAAAGTAAACAAATGCGCATTTACTATCAGAGGACGAAGTTACTTTGCTCTTAGAAGGGCTGTCCCGATAGTTAAAGAGCTTATGGTCTCTTATAATTAATCTCACGATAGAGGAGGGAACGGCAAAACAACGTTGTTACTAAGCGCTACTAATGACATATATATGTGTGTGGATATTTTATAAGCTTAAATGGCGCAGCTATCTAACATAAGGGGGCGATTACAGGGAGAAATAAAGGTGCGAAGATCAAAAGCGAAAGACTATGGGAACAACATATTACACGAGAAACTTCTCTTATCTGGTAGTGCCTCGGCCTGACAGTATCTCTTTTGTTTCCGAAAACAAAAGCAAGGAAAGATCCTTGCAGGAAAACTTACCATAGATGAAACAAAACATACGCATTAAAAGCTGGCAGTCCCGAAATTACACGATTGTGGAGGATACTCGAAAAATGACTGTTACGGAATTTTAAGGTCTTCACACAGAGTTTACAGGAGCTGGCTTGCATTGAAAACCTTTCGAGCTCAGAATATATAAAGTAAATTGGGTAAGTTGAATAGGTATAAGTGCGTCGTTGAAGTCTATTTTACGAGGCTGTTTTATGTGCAAACAGCGAAAGATTACGTGAGCGTTATTTCTAACCTGATTAAAGGTGAGGTATGAAGACAGTAGAGGAAAAGCGATAAATTGTTTGTCAAAATAAACTTCAACTGTCAGGCCTCAGGCCTTTGCAGCTTCCCTCGCTCCTATCAATGAGGGATGCTGCAAGAGCACACTAAAATGCAACCTGGTCGTCAGGCCCCAGGAGTTAACTATCTGGCCAGTCGGTAACTTTTCAAGTTGCAGTTGTTAGAAGGTAGTGATAGATAGCTGGGTTGACCACCGTACGCTTGGATCAGTTGGTCAAAATGCATCAAATCGATAGGCAGTTGTTAAAGTGAAACACTGACCACGTATGCCGCGTGCTATAGACGGACCAGGGGCCCGAATGGGTGAGGTTTAACAGAAAAATCCAATTAAGTGGACAAACGTGGCAGTCAATAAATAAAATTGATAAAACGTAGTAAAAACAGGCTCAATATAACTGGAATTACTATAAAAACGCATATTAACAGTTCCGTCAGCAACAGTACCTGGCTT